TCAATAGACATTTTTATTTAGGTGCCCAAATGCAGATTTAGGTGCCTCACCTCTAGGCCCCCAGCTTGGAAAATGGTGGCCTAATGCAGCAAGAAAGGGCAGAGTTAAGGTGATTTGTTCGTCAGGGTTGCTTAGGTGACTTGAGGGTTTGAGGAGCACTTCGCTTTCCATGGTTACGTTCTTCAGAGACGTCTCGTTTGGCGCCGCGCTGAGCAACCGTCTGAAAAATGGGACGTGCTTGCCCATGGTGTCCCTAGCCTCTGTTTGGGTGATGGGAGGGATCACTAGATGATTCCCTGTTCTGTTCATTCCCTCGGGGGCACCTGGCATTGGCCACTGTCGGAAGACAGGAGACTGGGCTAGATGGACCATTGTCTGACCCAGTATGTTCGCATCTAAAGGGGAACATGCACAGACTCCCAGCTGCAGGAAACGGCCACTGGCTGACAGCAGTAATGACCCCGGCTCTTTTCATCTGTAGATCTCAAAGCAGGGTGGTGTCATCACCCCCATGGTACAAATGGGGAAACTGAGGCACGGGAAGTGCCTTGCCCAAGGTCACCAGGAATAGAACCCAGATCCTCTGAGCCCCCAGCTGGTGCTCTCTCCACTAGGCCACGCTGCCACCCCATGAGTAAACTGAGGCTGGGAGGGAAGACGGTTTCTACCCCTCAGAGGAACGAGGGTCTGGAACAGCCTCCAAGCAGGAGTGGGGGGCAAAGACCCTGACTAGCTTTCAGATGGAGCCTGCTCAGTTTATGACGGGGATCTTGCTGGGGCTGCCTGGGACAGCAGTGGGGTGGAGTCGCTGAGTTCAGAGGCCCCATCTGGTGCTGGGTCCTTAGGCTCTTTGCTTTGGGTTCCGTGACTGGGATTTCCTAGGATTTATTGGATGTTTCTTTCTCTCCATTTACCAGCCCCACCCTCACGCTCCAGGCATTCCCCGCCTTTAAAACACGCTCAGTGTAAAAATCACTAATGACCTCTTCCCCGTGCCCACCCGTGGGAGAGATTTCCCAGGCCGGGGGCAGAGACATTGAAGATGGTAACTGCCAAACCAGATCAGACCAATGTCCCATCTAGACTGGTCTCCCGTCTCCAAAAGGTACCACTTAGACATGGCAACCCCGATCAAGGCTCCATCGTGCCAGGGGCTGCACTGACAATCTCTGCTCTAACCACCAGACACCACTTCCTTCACAGAGCTGGGAACAGAACCCAGGATTCCTGACTGCCAGCTCCCCCAACCACCCCACTCACTAGACCCCGCTCCTCTCTCTGAGCTGGGAACAGAACCCCGGAGTCCCGACTCATCGATTCCAAAGCCAGAAGGGACCCTGGTGACCACCTAGTCTGACCTCCTGGCTAACACGCCAGAGACCTGCCCCACAGCAGATTGTGTCAAAATAGTCCATGATGGATGGAGAATCCAGCACGGCCCCTGGTAAGTTGTTCCAACGGTTCCTGTTAAAAACGAAGGCCTCGTTCCCGGGCTGAATTTGTCTAGCTTCAACTCCCAGCTGTTGGATTGTGTGTGACCTCTCTGCTAGACTGGAGAACCCCTTATTAAATATTTGTTCCTCATGAAGGTACATATAGACTGGGACCAAGTCACCCCTGAGCTTTCTCTTTGTCACACAAAATAGATGGAGCTCCTTGAGTCTCTCACTATCGGGCAGGTTTTCTAATCATTCTCGCGGCTCTTCTCTGCCCCCTCTCCAATTTATCACCATCCGTCTCGGACAGTGGGCACCAGTACCAACCACAGGGTCCCCACGGCGAGCGCACCAGTGCCTGATCCAGAGCGGAAATCACCTCTCCACCCCTCCTCCAGATCCCCTTGTTTGTGCATCCCAGGATCACATTAGCCCTTTTGGCCTCAGTGTCACGCTGGGAGCTGGTGTTCAGCTGATTCTCTGCCACGCCCCCCAAAACTTCCTCAGAGTCACTGACCCCAGGACGGAGCCCCCCAGCCTGTGAGTACGACCCACGGGCTTTGTTCCTAGATGTTTACATTTACACTGAACTGCATTGAAACACTTATCGTTCACTTAGCGAGTGAGTCAGCGCCCCATTTGCTTTAACCACTAGACCCCACTCCCCTCCCAGACCCGGGGACAGCGCCCAGGTGCCCAGTGCCCGAGCCACGAGAGAATAACGGACTAGCTTGTCATAGCGAGGAGTTTTTTCCTAACTTCAGGCAGCTAGTGTTTGGCTTAGGTCCCAAAGGAGCCTATAGTCCTGGACCAAAAGAGTTTGGCTCAAATGTCCAGGTCTTCTATTGCCAGTGTATTTATTTATACCTCTATTAACGGGGGGCAAGAGAGGGGGTTTATGTGCATGCATGCACATGGATCTGTATGGACAGCACGTGTGTGTGTGTGTGTGTGTGTGTGTGTGTGTGTGTGTGTGTGTGTGTGTGAGCATGCATAGGTCAGTACAGACAATACGTGTGAGTGTGTGTGTGTGTCCATGGATCTGTACAGACAGCACATGTGTGCACACGTGCGCACGGATCTGTACTGACAGCACGTGTGTGTGTGTGTGTGTGTGTGTGTGAGCATGCATAGATCTGTACAGACAATACGTGTGAGTGTGTGTGTCTATGGATCTGTACAGACAGCACATGTGTGCACACGTGCGCACGGATCTGTACTGACAGCACGTGTGTGTGTGTGTGTGTGTGTGTGTGTGAGCATGCATAGATCTGTACAGACAATACGTGTGATTGTGTGTGTGTCCATGGATCTGTACAGACAGCACATGTGTGCACACGTGCGCACGGATCTGTACTGACAGCACGTGTGTGTGTGTGTGTGTGTGTGTGTGTGAGCATGCATAGAT